CCTCCTCCTCTCCTCCTCTTCCCTCTCTCCTCCTCTCTCCCTCTCTCTCCTCCTCTCCTCCTCTCTCTCTCCCTCTCCTCCTCTCTCTCTCCCTCTCCACCTCTCTCTCTCCCTCTCTTCCTCTCCTCCTCTCTCTCTCCCTCTCCTCCTCTCTCTCCTCCCTCCCTCTCTCTCTCTCCCCCCCTTCTCCAGGGCCTCACAGAGGCCAGATGGGCATCCACACTGAGCACACCCCAGCCCAGGGACCCCACCGTGAGCTGCCCCTTGTCATAGGAGGGTGGGGTCCCCACAGCCTGGGGCTGCTGGAGGCTGCAGGTGGTGAGTTTAGGACAGAGGGGGAGACTGGGCTTAGAGAGTGACTGTCCCTGGCCAGCCCCCAGCAGGGACCTCACTGCGAGGCCCCAGCCTCCTGTGCCAGCCTCCMGTTTCCTGTGTGTGCCTCGTTCCGGGTTCTACTGCCTTGGCAGGTCCCTAGCAATGGGCTAGACCCCAGCCACAACCCCCTCCCGGGTCTGGGCCGAGCCGCACTTCCCCCAGAACATTCCTGAGTCACTGTTGACCCGGGCACCCGCAGAACGCGGTTTCTCCCAGGCCACCCTCCTAGGGGCTCCCCCAGCGACCCTGGGCAACCCTGTGCTGGGCACTGACAGTCCCTCTGAAGCTCCCACAGAAACCGCTGCAGTCCCCGGACACCCACCGCGGGCACCCGGACCCCCACCGCTCTGCCCGGACTTGGTCCTGTAAACAGTGGCCGCTCCTCTGCTGGGTGGTCAAGGAGCGTTTCCAGAGCCCCAACAGGGACAGGTCTGGTTCTCCCCACGCCTGGGTCGGCATGCGCCACCAGGGGGCGGCAGAGCGCGCGGCGCAGGCCGGCTCCCCTGCAGGGCTCCCCAGGAGGTCTCGGTTCCCGCCACTTAGGCGTTGACCTCGACTGCTTCCCCTGGGAGCTCACCCCGTCCATTTCTCATGCTGCCACCAGGGGAACCCCCGCTGCATGCCCCCTAATGAGAGGTAGAGTCCCCTGACCACTGCTGTGCAGGCCCAGGGGGTGACCACCCGCTCCCCACCCCGACCCTGCAGCTCCACTCCAGCCACTGCAAGACCCAGTTCTGGCACCGCAGGGCCTTGGTACTGACCGTCCCTGCCTCAACCCATTTCCGTTTCCATGCGCAGCCTGACACTGGCTCCCGCACTGCCCTCCCCAGGGGACCTTGCTGTCTGCTGGAGCTGGACCAGCACCCCAGGCCCCAGGGTGTCTGAGGTGGCCCCGCTTTCCAGATGAGGAAACAGACCCAGATACGAGAAGTGACTGTCCCAGAGCCACAGCCACCTCCGGGGGTTGGGAGTGAGACCTGTGACCCGTTGGTCCTCATCCACCTGTCCTGAGTGTGGGCCTAGGGCCTTGGGCACCTGGTTCTGGACAGGTGTCCACTCTCCAGGAGGGAAGGACAGACAGGAGGCGGTGTCACCGGAGGGAGCTGGGAGCCCAGTGGCCTGGTTCCCCAGAGCCCCCTGGGGGYGGAAACCCGTGGGGAGCTGCCAGACTCTCTGTGGACCAGGGTTCTGAGGAGGGGCCTTTGGAAAGGCCTCAGCCCAGAGTCCTTCCTTAGGGCTGGCTGCCGGCCGTGGCAGGAGGCTACCCAGGGGCTGCAGGAGCCCCTTGGCCGGGCAGCACAGTATGGATCCAGTCCACRTACAGGGACACACGAGCGAAGAAGTCGGGTTACTGGCG